AAATGATCCCGAATGAGGATCCGTCCGTTTTGTCAATAGGTGATTTGTCAATAGGTGATTTGTTATCAATTTAGTTCATTTCTTAATTTAAAATTAAATTTAAGCATTGGCAAATAATTTATTTGTTACCCACTTAATTATAAATGATGTGTGGCAACCCTTAACAATTTACATAAATATTTATACCTCCATGAACAAATTTTCGAAGGGGTTCGATGATAAATTATTTAACTATGCGTTTGTAAGGTTAAGAAATAAACGGCCGAGACATACATAGATGTAAGTGTATGTTGTTGACCAACGTCAAATTCTAAGTCGATTTAGCTATGTCGGTACGCCCGTCCAGTCTAAAATATTTTGATAAAAAAAACTCTGAAATTAAAGTGAGATTTTGTTTAAATTGTTTGACAACTAGATGTATAAAAATTATTAATTAATCAATTGTTATACGGTAACGATTTGATTATCAAAAGTTAAAATTAAAAAGCTATTCTTATTCTCATTAATTTTTTTTACATAAAGATTTCAATTTCATGCTTTCAATTTATACTTTTCAGTTTTTTTTCCATTTTGCATTTTTTTTTAAATGTTATAGAAAGGGAAAATATTAATGGATTGGCAAGGTCAACATTCAAAATTTGAAAGTTCTTAATAATGTATTTTTGCCAAAATTTTATTATGTTATAAATGTGTGATTATTCTATAATTTAATGTGGCCACAATAATTGTGTTAAATCTGCAAGGTTTTTGAAGTTTTGAATATATTTAGTGGTATAAAACAAAAGTAATTTTTCGATTTTTAACTTTAAACGCTTTTGACCTTTATTTTTTGCAAAAAAAAGAAGAAAAAACTAAAAAACTTGAATTAAGTTTATTATTATCAAAATGTATATATACAAGATTTAAGCTCTACATTTTATGTCTTTAGTTGTACATTTTATTAAAAGAGCGATTCAAATCGAATAAAGTGTATGACCTATAAATTTATTGTAAATACAATTTGTGAAATATTTTTACAATTAGAAAGGCAATTTTTTACTGCCACGTAAATATGATGAATTTAGTTTTCCGTGAAGCTTGAATGAATTTCTAAAATTGTATTAATTACAAATTTTATATCAACAATTATTGTTTAAAAATAAAATCTGAAAAGAAATTAATGATTGGAAATGTGTTAATTTTCCACATAAATATGGAAATTTTTTTAATTCACAGATTAAATAAAAAAACATTGATTATTGATTTTTCTATATGTACAATAATTATAGTTAATTTAACAATAGTAGTTAATTGATTTAGACGGAGTAAATGAAAAGAAATAATTAGCATAAAAAAAATTCTTAATTATTTTAATGTACTCTTATTTTCGAGGTACTCGTAATTAGAAAATATAAAAACCATTATGTATGAACTTATTTTACAATATTTGATTAATTCTATCATAAATTTTGTAGGTTAATTAAACAAAAAATTTAAAACAAAACTCAAAGTAATTTTTTTTTAATATAAAAGTTGAATTTTTATCGTATTTAGATATATAGTTTCAGCTTATAAATTTAATAATTTCGTAAAACAATTACTCTAATTAATTTTTCTATTATTTATTTTATTTGATCTCGTTAAATAATTTGCAACAATCAATATAATTTATTTGTAATATTTCTTCTACTATCGCAACTCAAATATGAATGAGTGGAAAAAATTTGAACTTAAGCATTACTCAAGAAATTAAAATTCTTACAAATTTCTAATTGTCTTTATATTTTTACACGTAGAACAAAAATGTACCTCAAAATTAATTTACAACAAAGCTAAATAATTTTAATAAAGTGACGTAGTGATAGTGAATACTTCTCGACAGCAGGGAAGTTGAGTATATACGCTTCATGTTTTTAGAAATTGATTGCGTAGATTTCAGCCTAAAATCGAAATTCATTAAGAGAATATCAAACTACAACCTCAAATATAACAATTCGAATATTATTTCTATAACTAATGTTAATACAATGTGTACAAAAATATGTTTACGATGTGAAAATCACTAAGACCTAAATTATGTAGCAAATTAACAAACTCATTCAAATTAAAATAGTCACATTTTAAAATTTATGCTCTTTTGTTTAAGAAGTTAAAAAATTAATTACATATTGTTCAAATTTTAATTTCAAGTAAATTTTCAAAAAAATGTGTATTGATTTTATTAAAACTTTTTCTAATTATGTAACAGAGATCTAAAACTAAAATTAGAATTGCTAATGTTTTGAAACATTTTTACACATCGCTGCGAACGTATGTTCGAAAGGTATTATAAATATGTCTTGCCGTTTTTATAGCCATGAAATAATGATCTGAGATCTATATGTGTAAGTGAGATATAGACATAATATATATAATAAGTTACCGATTAGCGTCGAATTCTGAGTCGATTTAACCGTGTCTGTATGTCTATCCGTTGGTGTCTACGATAACTCAAAAATTAATTGAGCCAAGATTACCAAATTTCCACAAAAATATGTATAGAGATAAGTGTCATAACCTTATTTAAACTGAATGTGATCTAGGTAGTGGTTAGCGCCCTAAAACTTCAAAAAATATTTGACCATACCTCATAAATTATTGAAGCCACCATAGAAATGTCGCTCAAACAAGTATATTTTTGGAACTGTTATATTTGATAAAACTAGTTGAAATTTCATGACTCGTGGTGATAGGTGGCAATTACAATCATTCGTACGAGTATCACAAAGTTGTCCCGGTGAATTTTATATATTTTCGTTTTTCTCAGATTTTAAATTTTAACAAATTCTGCTAAATTAATTTTCCCAATAGTTAGAAGAATTATTATTCATTTCTATAATACATATTTCCTTTTCTCACAAAATTTATTAATGCGAAATTTAGCTGAAGTACACATTAAGCTTACATACAATAGGAAATAAAACATTGCTGTAAAAATTTTGTTCTTTAATCTTTAAAATCATTTTTGATTCGTTAATTTACCGAAATTTTCTTGCAAATTTCCTGCGTTTATATGTACACTCTTAATTCCTAAAATTTGGACACAATAGGCCAATTTGTATAATTTATGTTATTATATTATTATTATTATTATTATAAAATTATTTAAACTTAAATGGACGCTTATTTTAAAATTTAAATAAAAATTCATTTTTATTGTGTAACACAACACAACTGAAAAAAACAAAAATTTGTTCCTTATTTACCAAAAATTCTATTTAGAATTCAATTGTCCAAAAACACAATTGAATAAGTATCTCTGATATTCTCACAAATAATTTTGTCAGTTTTGAATTGATTAAGATTGCAAAATGAAAAAAAAAAAATTGTGTTAGAGATTTAATTAAGAACTCCGTTTAAATAATAAAAGTAAACAGATAAAAAATTTTAAAGAAATTGAAAAATTCAAAAATCTTTACTAATTGAAAAATAAAATAAGAATGAAAGATAAGACTCAGAAATGATGATTTCCGTTAAATTCTTCCTATATAGAGAAATAAAAATCTAACTTAATTAAGATAAAATTTTATTTTCGGTCATGTCAACTAGGCAAAAATTTTATAATTTAGAAACTCTGTTTGATTAAAATTTTCTGAATTATGTAATTAATTTTTTAGTTTAAATTCTTTAATTAAATTAAATATTAAAATTAAATTAACACTATAATATAAAAAATAATAATTTAAAATTATTACGATATTTTTTTAATATTTCAATACACAATCCCTATACAAAAATTATTAAATTTACAAAATGTAAAATAAAGTAGCTTTTTATTTTGTGAAGTTAATTAGGCAACTTTTATAATTAATTTGTGTTATTTCCAAAGTTTAGCAAAATACTGTTAATATCTTTTGGGGACTTGGTTATAAATCATTAAAGGTATGAAATTAATGCTAATAACAATTGAGTAATTTGCAATAAAACTATCTTACTATCTTGCGTTTAACATTTTTAAATATGGAGGTCTCTTGAGCTTGATACTCACTCGTACATGTAATTCAGCTCTTGCAATAGTTTATGTAACATAATTCCATTATTTTTTATATTCATCTAAATATTATACATGGTGAGTATTTTCATTATGTTTCACGACCTATATAACAGCAAAGAACCTTTGCGAGTCCATAAAATATTCTAAATCATAGAATTATATTCTAAATATTGGTCTAAGTTCATCCGATCGCCTTTTGTTGAAGCGCTTATTTGATATAAAGACCTTAACAGTTAAAAATTTTCATAGATACATATGCAGACCTGCGTTACTGCACGCAGACCTATAAAAATGAGTAAGATTGGCAAGATTAATTTTATAGGGGCCTTAAAAAAATTCTTACGGCGTACCAAATCGCTGCAACTTTTGTTCAACAGTTTGTTTGACAATTGTATTCCGTGAGTTTCCTGCCACCGGAAAAAATCCTGAAATGGGCCTTATAAAAATTGAATTATGTTGAAAGCTTAAAATTTTGATAAATAGGCCGTTTTGTATAATTTATCACTTTAAAATCATTTAATTGATATTACATCAAAGTGTTCATATCCCCATATGTTTCTTTGTTCATTTCACCGTTTTTAAATGCAATTTTCTTGTACCTTGCAAGTACTTTTTAGAAATTTAATCCATTTATTTGTGTTACGATTTATACATACATACGTACAGTGTACATTGAATTTTATAATTTTCAGTTTAATTAACAAGTTAAAGTACAACTTATTGGAAATATAAGTATGACAATCTGATGACATTTCAATATTTTTCTGTTATTATTGAAAATTTTTCATTATCATACATACTTATTGTGTTGTTTTCCAGTGTAGAGTATATTTACATAGTCATATTTTGAGGATATTTCCTTATAATTTGCAATATTATTAACGTTAAGTAATTGATATGCTTAAGTGTTTTACTCCTTAATGTTGCTTAAAGGCATCAAATTACAAAGTTTCATTTTTAATACTTTCCTCTTTCTTTTTGCTTTCAGAACGGAACCAATTTTATCCAACAACGCATATCAAATTAATTGAAGAGGAAATACAACAAGAAAGAAATAGAAACAAAAGAAAAAATTAAAATCAATATCAAATACTAAGGACAATTTTTTTTTTAGAAAGGACTTTATTATACATAGAGTTAAAATAAAAATTTAACAAATAAAAAATATAAAAGAAAAAATAAAAAATTAAAAATGGCTGAAGAAGAATCGTTGACGAGAGGTAATATTAACGATAGCAATAAGGATGACAAACAAAATGGAAATAAAAATGATGGGGCACCGGCCGCTGGCCAACATCAAGAAGTTGAATTAAAAGCAAAAATGAGTCTTGTTAATGGTGTCACTGTAATAGTTGGTTCAATTATTGGCTCTGGTATTTTTGTATCACCAACAGGTGTTCTTATGCACACAGGAAGTGTTAATTTATCTTTAGTTGTTTGGGTCATATCAGGACTATTTTCAATGGTAAGTTAAATGTTTCAATATTCTTGTGATTAAATTAAGTGTGTATTCATAATTTCTATAATTTATGAGAGAAATTTCAAATTCATCTTCATAATAACCACTCGGTGGAAGTTATTCTCTTAATTTCAATTCTTTAAATTATTCTTACTAGTGTTAATTGATAAATTATGGCCGGTTAGATGGAAAACTAATTTATAAAAACTCTAAAAATATAATTAATCCTAGTTCACAATAACGACACCGGCTGAATATTTTTTATTTAATAAAAATGGAAAATTTTACATTTAATATTTCAACAAGTAAATAAACTATTTGGACAACAAACAACTGGAACTATCTTACAAAATAAATAATTTAAGCTTCTATATACTTTTAAAATGAAATAAACTTAATTTTTGTCTTAACCCTTGTCGATAATAAATTATTATTCTTTTGGTGTTCATTAAGGAAACTTCCATCTAAAATTCTTATCAACTTTCAAATTAGTAGCTCACTGATTACATACATGCATGTACATAATTTTTAACTATAATAATTAAAAAAAAACTGATAGCCTATATGTATAGCTCTTAATAAAAATTAAGAAACTCGCTGTCAAAAGCCGGACCTCATTTTACATGTTTTTCATATCAATGCTAACAAAAATTTTTAAAGCAAGATTTTAAAAAGTCAAGGTTATTTTGAATGTCATAATGTCACCAATATAAATTTGTAGTAGCTTTACTTTAATAAAAAACATGAAAAACGAAAAAAATATTGAAATAAATATTTTATTTTTATTAAGTGCCTATTATTGTGTTGAAAATAACGTTAATTATGTTACTATGTTAGTAAATAAAATTATTAAAATTTCGTGAGGAAGTTTTTAAAACAATTTTTAATTTTATACCATTTTACTACGTACATACATACATACATATATGTACATATATAATTGTACAGTTCTTCTAAACAAAAATTACGTAAGAAAAATGTTTATATTAAAAATTAAACAAACGTAATTAACACTTGACTAAATTTATTCAAGCGTTTTCAATGTTGAATGGGGGGCCGGGCAAAAAAACTTTACTGTATTAATTAATATATGTATGTATGTACGACATTTTTTTTTTCGCTTTTAAAAAAAACATCAGCTGAAAGTGAAAGTATTTTAGAATATTAAATAAAAAAAAATAAATATTATTATTTACATTTAAATTTTGTTTACATATGTACATAAGTATGTAGGTATTAAGGTATGGAAAGGCATCTGTTTAAAAAGTTTACTCAACTTAAATTGTTCTAATTTATATACGTAAATATTGTGTATGCAAATAATTTATACAGATAAGTCCAGCACAACAAATGAATGACATTTTGCATATAATGAGCTTGTGTTCTTAATTTGCAATTTATTAAATTTGTACTAAATAATTTTCTCTTGTATTTTATTTCATATTAATAAATTGAAAGAATTTTACACGCAAGCACAATTTAAAGATCGTATGGGTGTGCACTTTTCGATAGAAAAATTTCTTTTCTTGCAGATTTTTCGAACAAAAAAAAAAGCTAAGCACACACTGTTTCGATTATGTGTAACTTTTCCAATTCTTCCAAATTTTTCTCACAAAATTTTTACTCAGGCATACAAATAAAAATTGTAATAAAAAGTATTGAAATTTTAAATAGATTGAAATTTTGAATTTCAAAATAAAAATTGAAAAAAGTTACATTGAATTCCTTTCCATTCGAATTCAAAATTCCATTCGAAAATCAAAGGTTTTTTTCAATTTTTCTTAGGTATTCGTCTAATAATTTTCAGTAAAATTTTTCTCAATTTTTTATGCTGAAAATTAACTATAAATATTTGTGTTTTCTCAAAATATCATTGTAAATAGTCCAAGTCTAAGAATTAATCTTTACCTATTAATACGTAGTTTAAGTTTCAGTTAACTTTATTACTAAGAATCAATATACTCGTATTTGAAAGAAATTCAATTATTTAATTGAAATATTCAATTTTATCAATACTTCTGACACATATGGGAAGAAAGAGAAATCTTAAAAGAGAAGAACTTTTTCTCTTCTGAGAATTTTCTTAGAAAGAGACAATTTAACATTGTATATGACTCTATTATTTTTGGTGATGTTTCACTCAGCCCTCAAAATTGTTTCAATATGAAATAATACAAAATAATTTATTATATTTTTGGGGTGATACCAGATCAAAATTTAGAAATTTTTTTTTGTTTTCTTTTTCCGATTAAAAATTTATAAAATCCGAATATCACACATAATGTATGTATGTCGACATTATTATATTATTGAATAGGTTAATTTTTTTTATGCGTAAAAAATCAGAAATTGTCTTAAACGTTTGTGGGCTTTCAAGATTAATTTCTTTTATTTTTACATTTATTTTTGCTATTTTCTAAATAATAATTATAAAAATACGTCAAAGAAAGTCAATAAATTTAATATTTTAATGAAAAATAAGAAAGATAGTAAAGTTGCTTAAGGCGATTGAATTAATAGTTTATTAACATTTTAATAAATGTTAATAAACTATTAATTCAATCTATATGTGCATTGGTATATGCCATATAGAAAAAAAATCAAAAGTAATGGCATATTCACCTTTACCTTTTGTAGGTATATAAACCATATTCACACCTTAAAGCATAGGTACTTTAAATAAAAATTTTCAGTTTGTATGTACATAATTATTTATAATATATATTATAGACATCATTAGGTTACGCAAAATACAGGGTGGTTCACATAAGGTGACAAATAATTTCAGAGATGATTCTTAAACAAAAAGCAATCAATCGAATGTGAAATCAGCTCCGTTGCAGATTGCTCTAGGTCGCATGTTTCCGAATTATGAATAAGCATTTATTTATATGCAGGAAAAAACTGGCACCTTTTTTTTCAACAGGCTGTAGCTCGAAAACTAGTATACCTGCGCCTCCTCTGTCTCATCCTCCAGTGCAATTTTTTGCCGCAAATTGATCGAAGAATCATCCCTGAAAATATTTGCCACCTTATGCGAAACACCGTGTGTATTTCAATGTAATTCATATGATACATAGTTCAATGTAAACATATACAAATACATGTGTGTACTTACTTTTTTGTTACGCTTTTATCGAATGTGTAAAAAGATTTACGATTATTGTGAGGAAATAATTTTTTTTTTGTTGTGCTAACTGTGACTTTTTTCCTCTTTTTTTTTAGGTTAATGTTCTTGCCGGTTTATTTAAGTCATATAGGTGTCAGTGGTGTATATGTATATGTATGTGTATAGTAGAATATCATTAATAATGAAGAGGATAAGTTAATAAACTTAAAGATCTTTATTCTACCTTATTTCTATCTAGTTCAGAAAAGTTTTAATTTTAAAATTGAAAAAACTGCCAAAAATAAATTTTAATTTAAGCAGAAATTTTGTTCTTTGCGATGCATTCAAAAAGAATTCCTAAAAATTGTTATTGAATTACAAGATTTGAAATTACAAGATCATGAAAAACACTTATTACGAATAATTTTATTTTAATGTGTTAATTTTTAATTATTGCTGTAAAACTTAATTACTTTGACTTAAACGCTTTATTTTTGCTACATCACAAATTTTACAAAATTATGTTATTGCCATCAACTTCTCGACGGTTTTTTAAAAATAGGTATAATGCTTTAAGAATCTTAAAACTTTTAAAAAAATGTTGATTTATTATTATTTTTTGAAATAAAAAACCCAATTAAGAATTGTTTTAAAATTCATAGTCATTTGCTTATAGGCAAATAATTATGTAGGAATTTTTTTTACCTAGAATATCACATGTACCCTTATCATTAATATTTTAGTCAATGAACACTGTACGCGCTACACACAAGCAAAATTAATTTTGTTTTTAATTTCTGATTATAAATAGGTAGGAGCTTATTGTTATGCTGAATTAGGATGTATGATAAAAAAATCTGGAGCTGATTATGCATATATTATGGAAACATTTGGACCATTTTTAGCATTTGTGCGTCTTTGGATTGAATGTATGATTGTAAGACCGTGTTCTCAAGCTATTGTTGCTTTAACATTCAGTGTATACGTTTTAAAACCATTTTTCCCTGAATGTCAGCCACCAGATGATTCAGCAAGATTATTAGCTGTATGTTGTATATGTAAGTATAATATTTAAAAAATGTTTTTTTAATAAAACTCTACCTATTCTAGTTTTAAGTTTTTGATAGTGACAAATCACTTTTATATTGATTAATTTTATATGTACATGAAAACCAAAAAAAAATAATGAGTTTCAGAATGAGAAAAAAGCAAAACAAAATTCAAAATATATTAAAATCAATCTTTTTGCTCTCCTCCATAATTTTTTATGGGTCATTTACGTTGTAAGTTTAAATACGTAGACGCCATTCATTTAAGATGTATAAGTACGAGAAAAAAGTTTTTCACAAAATATTTAATCAAAATTTAAGGCAAAATGATTTGTCAATTTATTGAAAAGAAGTTAATGAAATACTGGTGGCTTCTTGTCTATAATATTGTACGTTAATTTGAGATTAATTGTAATAATATAATGATTTCAATAAATGATAATTTGAATATTTCGAATAATAAATCCATCTTTGTGTTGAAAATTAAAAATATTTTATTGTGCAGTAAAATAAATTATATAACTTAGAGGCATTAATAACTTAAAAATAAAATCAATGGCACATCTTTTCTAAAATCAATGCTTGTTTCTTTTAAAAATTGCTCTTAAATATCACAAATTTAATGGCAACATCACGAATTATAACGACCGCCTTTCGTATATACACGTATGTACACAATAAGATCTAAATTATTTAAAATTATATCGAAATTATTTAAGTATATAATTTTATGAACGAATATTGGCTGCGATTATAATAAATTAATTTGTAGCCCATCAAACTTTCATATTATTAAAAATGTTGATATAACAAATACAATATTATCTCGCATATGTGATTATGGCTCGAATAAATATTAAAAATAATCAATCAATAATTATTATAATCATCCATTAATGTTCAAAATCAATCAATTAATCATTTTAATCAATACAATATTGAAATAATGGAATTTATATACCTAATCGACTATTGTTTTATTTTTATTTTTCTGACCTACGATACTGCAACGCAAATCATGTCGACATCTTAAATTAATTTTTTATTGATAACATTATAAAAATATTAAAAAAAGACAAAAAAAGATGCTAAAAATCCAATAATAAAAGTATAACAGAGCACTTTTGTTATCATTTTTGTCATCAGGAGGTCATTCGTTTCGTTAATACAAAAATCCTTTGTACGAAACACTAAGTGACAGACCATGTAATAATAGAAAAGTAGAAAAAGAATATCAAATAAATAGTTTACTATTTTACTATGCATAGAAAAATTTATTAATGAAAATAAAATGAATTTTATTTTCTAAGTTTTTATTATATTTTTCGTTACTTATAGCAAAAAGAATATTCCAAAATAAATTGTGTAAGACCTATGCAATTTTATTTTGTTCTTTTGCTTAAGTATTCCATCAAGAATAAAATTTTAAATCATAAATCTGAAAAGTACGAAATATTAACTTTTATAGGGCTTGTATAAAAGTTTAAAGCATTGACATGGCTTTACATGACGAACCGTACAGAGGCAATGCAAGTCAATATGAATTCAAGAATCCGTACTAAAATTTCATATTTACATTTCACTTATTTACGCGTTTTTATTTTTATTAATATAAGAAATTGTATTTTAGGTGTTTTAACATTTGTAAATTGTTGGGACGTGAAATGGGCAACTAGAGTTCAAGATGTTTTTACATATGCCAAATTATTAGCATTATTTATTATAATTGGAACTGGATTGTACGAACTTGCAAGAGGTAATTTATAAAAATTTTTTTTTTATCATGCAGTCTTTTGAATATAGCAACTCAGAAAGATGTTTTGTTAAAACAACAAATAATTATTATTTAATAGTTTTCGCCTAAACATATGCAATTATTCATGAAACAATTATACAGCTTTTCTAAAATGTTATTGTTGTTTCTATAAAACATTAATTTTAAAGAATTTTTTATTATCAGTTATCCTCAGGGTCCCGAGAATTTTGTTTTTGTATTTACAATAAAATTACAACGTTTTTTAAAAGTTTACTTTAAAAATTGCCATAAAAAACAATGATAAGGCTTTTAATTTTTCTTCTTTTTATATTTTTGTAGGAAAAACACAATATTTCACTTTTGAAAATTCTAATGCTGAAGTGACTTCTTTGGCGTTATCATTCTATTCAGGATTATTTGCTTACAATGGATGGTAAGTGCGTCTCTTATAAATATTTTTCTTTATTGTAAAAATAATTGCATCTCTAGGGATTTTGTGTTATTTAAAATTCCTTTACGCTGTAATAAGGGAAAAAATAACGAGTATTTTGCAATAAGACAATATTTCGTGTACTAATTAAAAATTACAGTCATTTTTTATTTTTATCAATTTTTCCTTTTGAATTTTTCTATCATAACTTAAAGTTTATTAAATATCAAACGTTCTTATGTATTGATATTTTTTTTCTATATATTCGTTTTCAGGAATTATCTGAATTTCATTATTGAGGAATTAAAAGATCCAGTAAAGAATTTACCACGCGCTATTGCTATATCATGTACCTTAGTAACAGTTGTATATGTTTGTGCAAATGTTGCTTTCTTTTCAGTTCTATCACCTGAAGAAGTTTTAGGTTCTGAAGCTGTGGCTGTAACTTATGCTGAAAGAGTATTTGGTATATTTGCATGGACTATTCCAGGTGAATAATATTTTAAAAAATTTAATTGTAAATTTAATGACTAATTTAAGATTTTATAATATAAATTTGGTCAAGTTAATGAATTATAAAATTGAATTTTTGAAATGAAAATTGACATAAAACAAATTTCTTTTATAATTTTAGTTTTTGTTGCATTATCAACTTTTGGAGCTGTAAATGGTATTTTATTAACGTCATCACGTTTATTCTATGCCGGAGCTTGTGAAGGACAAATGCCAGAAATATTAACAATGATTCAAATACAGAGACTTACACCAACTCCAGCCGTATTAATAATGGCACTATTATCAATGTTATATTTAACATCTTCCGATATATTTGCTTTAATTAATTATGTTGGATTCGCCACATGGGTAAAAAATTGTTTGAATACATTTAATTGTCCCCTATTAAAGTTATTTTTTAAAAATTAATTATTTTTTAAAAATTAATTACAGTTAAGTATTGGCGTTTCTGTATTATGTCTTCCATGGTTAAGATGGGCTCAACCTAATTTAAATAGGCCAATTCGTGTTAATTTAATATGGCCAGTAATTTACTTATTAGCAACAATATTTGTAACAGTTGTACCAATGTATGCAAGTCCAGTTGAAACTGGTTATGGTGTTTTAATGATTTTATCAAGTGTTCCTGTTTATTTCTTATTTATTGCATGGAAAAATAAACCAAAATGGTTCCAAAATACAATGGGTATGAAAATAATCTCTTACACTTATAAGATTTAAGCAATTTTCTAGCATAAAATAGAATAAGTTTAGTTTTTTATTTTTAATTTCGGCTTTTATTAAATCCGTTTAGTATCGAAAAAGAAAATAATTTATTTTCTTCTTCTTTTTTTTTATAGAAATTTTAAGTTTCCCCGTTTGATTAAAATTTTAATTAATAGATTTTATGTTGGAATTATTTTTTTAGGAGGATTCACTCAAAACCTACAAAAAATGATGATGGTTGTGCGACCGAAATCCGCTTCAAAGGTTTTATTTTTTTTATTTAATTTTGTTTTATGTTTCATTTTATTTTGTTCTTTTTTTCTTTAAATATTTTTCGAATTGGCATGCTAAAAAAACACTGGAAAATTTTATTAGTATTAAGTTAGTTAACTTTTAAATTATGTATTTTTTTTTTTTGTTGTATCTGTTTTGAAAGGAATTAAATTTAAACAAAATGTTTTTTTCGATAGTAGATGCAATGTTTGCTGCATTAAGTTTTAAATTTTTTGATTAATTAATTTTAATCAGTTTAAAATTCCGATTCAAAAAATTTTATGTCAAAAATAATTTTTTTAGGCCTGTCGATCGAATATTGTTTTTACAATGAAAAAATATTTTTGATAAAATGATCCGCCATTGCACGTTCAGTAATAGTGATGTTTTAATAAAGCGATTTAAAGTGATGTTTTTGCTCTAAATATAAAAACTATCAAATATTTTTGAAATATTTTTTCAAGATTTTGCGCTCAATTAACATTAAACTTAATGATCAATTTTGTTCACAAGTGCATGATTTAGGCATGACTGGGGCACAAAAATTAGCGATAACATTTTAACAAATGCACCACCCTTTCTTTAAAAGGGAAATTAAATTATATGTCATTATTCAAGATTTTGTTATTTTGTTTTTCATTTTGTGTTAGTAATAGAAATTAAATTTATTTTAAGATTATTTTCTTTGTAAATATTTATTCCTAACTCCTCAAATTATTATTTTATTTTTGAAATTTATTTTGCATCTAAATTTCTAATTGAATATTTTTTTGTATATAAAATAAAACTTTATATTGACACCATGAAATTGACAGCACATTTTCCTTACTCTATAAAATTAAAAATTATTTTTTAAATTAATTAAAATAATTTCTTTTTTTTTGTGTTTAATGTTTAATTTTAGTAAGCTTTACGAGATTTCTTCAAAAAATGTTAATGGTCCTAGGAAAAACAAAACCGGCTCAAGTTTAATTAAAAAATAAACAAATGAAAAATGCAATGAGAAAAATTTGAAGAACATTAAAGAGAAAAATAAACGAAAAACCAAAAGAATAATGAGTGGAAGAATTATTAAAAAAATATTTTAACGAATAAATATTTTAATTTATTTATTAAATTATTTAATAAATAATTTATAAAAATATTGTACGAAAATCATGAAAACATAAACATTACAAGTATATAAAAAAACATTGTGGCTGTTAAAATTTGATAATAATTCTTAAAAAAAAAAAAAAACAAACAAAATAAAAAAAAAATTGAAACCATTTTGGTTCAATAAAAATTTTAAGCACGCATAAACAAGGAAATTACGAAACAACTAAAAAATAAAATCAAAAAAAAATTCATAGTATATTATTTTTAAATATACTTCAGATGTATAATTCTTATAATAATATAATAAATAAATAATTTCAAAAAAATAAAAAAAATAAACAAAAATTTATTGTAAACATGTGAACTATAATGTAACTTGTAAATCTACATACATAAATATAATTATATAATTATACAATTTAAATAAATAAAAGAGAAAAGCATGTGAAAAAAAAATTAATAAAAAACAAATTTTTACCATAATTAAGAAATAATTTTTTAATTATTGCTCTTAACTCATATTGTTGTTCATTATTTTTTTTTTCTTATTTCCAAAATTCATGTAGTAAAATAATAATTTACGAATTATTAATATTAAAATAGAAACATTAAAAGAAAACACACTTATATTTTTAATAAAAAAATTTCATTCTTTTTTTAATTTAATCGACTAGTATCTGATGTTTAAATAAAATATTTTCAATATAAAAATTATAATTAAAAAAATTGTTTTAAGTTAAAAATTTTTATTGCAAAACAAAAATCACATTAAATATAATAAAAAAAAACATTCCTATTTAATTAATTCGTAAAAATATTAATTAAACCAGAATTGTATAATTTTAAGTTAAAATTATGTAAAAAAGAAATTTATTATAATTATTGTACTAGTTGAAAAGGTTTCTTATATTAAAGCCCATAAATACGTATATGCAAAAAAAAAAAAAGAAAAATTATTAAGGTAGTTAAATTTTAGTTTTCAATTCAGAATTTTTATTATTTAATATTTCAGAAAATTTATTAAAATAGATATTTTATTTTAAATAATGTAATAGAAATTTAATTTTGATTGCCACTTGAATTGTCACAGAATGCTAGTGATTACAAACAATAATCTGTTAAATTAATTTTAAATGCAAAAATTTTCTTATAAATTATAATAACAATATATTTAATTAAATTTGAGTGCAAGTAATTATTATGTGTAAAGGTTTGAAATAATATTGCATATGTTATGATTATTTTGAAATTTTTATATAATGATTTGATTAAATTTCTGAATTATATGTAAAAAAAAGTTTTCTTAATTAATTCATGGAAAAATAATAATAAATTTTGTGACTGAAAATATTGTATTACCATAATAAATTTTAAATGAAAATTTAATTCATGTTATTTACTATAATCATAACATGTCAAAATATTATTATACTTATTCCTTTATAATGATTTTGTATTTGCAATTATATAATATGTATAACAATATTATCAATTGTAAAATTTCGTTTAATGGGTTTATAATATTGCATGTAATTTATATTATGTGTAATATTAAATGTAATATAATTCTAATGTTCTCTAACAAAAATTATACATAATTTAAAATATAAAATTCTTATATTACACAATAAGAATTTTATGTATAATATTTAATTCTGGAATGAAAATATGAAAATACCGCCTTAATAATTTGCTCTATTTTTTGTTCAATTATTAAACAAAAAATAAAATAAAAAAAATGGTAACTTTCTATACTAAAAATTCAAAATATAGATTTTTTCTTTAAATTAATATTTAATTAAAAAAATTTTGATTTATTTAAAAATTTATAATTGTCAAAAAAAAATAAAATATTTTGTTAAAATTAAAAACAATTTAATTCAATTGAAATACAAATTATTCTATTCAGTACATTCAAAATTTTAAACTTTAGTTGATAGATCTAGCCAATTTTTATAAAATTAAATTGATTTTAAAAAAATAAGCTTTATTCTCTAATGATTTTCTTGCAATATCAATTAAAAAATTATAATTGAATGATTAAATATCAATTTGTGTTTATTTTAATATATATGTAAATGTAATTGCCACATATTAATTGAATTGCAATTAATTTTATTTAAATATTTTATAAAGAAATGTTACCATTTTATATAATTTTCAAATAAAATATTCTTTTTTGAAACATTTATATAGTATATTCATGTATAATACTCCAAATATTTGAATTATTATTTTTAATAATAATATTTTTCATATTTGATTCATAATACTTTTATAATAGTAGTAAATAAAAAGAAAAATACGGGTTTTTATTTTACAATTTACTTTTATTTTTGTGTATTCTCGTTTTTTTTTTAAAATGCTAACATTTTTTTATTATTAATGTTTTCAAAATAATTTTCAAAATAAATTTTTTTATTTTTTTTTTTTAATTTTTAATATTATATAATTAGAAATGCATAGCTATTTGAAAATATAATTTAAATATTTTCAAAATTTAGTTAAGTCTTAAAAATAAATACATATAAAATAAAAAGCAAATAAATATTTTATAATTTAAAACTTTTACATATAATTTTAATTATTTAATTTACTATAGTCTAAAGTATTAAAATTTCATTTTTAATTTTAATTAGTTTCTTATTATTTGTAATGATTTTAATAAAAAAAAAAATGAAAAAAAAAACAATACTAGAAAAAATTTCAATATTTAAGTGAAATGTTTTTAAGTTATTTAATTTTTGAATTATTTTTTGTGTTTTAGTCAGAAATCTTCATTTTAATAATTCATCCCTTACTTATAACTTATATTAATTACTTTGTGGAAAAGTTTTGTGTAAGGAGTTTTTAAAACTATCTAATTCAACCCACTTCTAATTTAATTAACCATTTAAAATTTTCAAATAAATTTTATGAATTGATTCATTTTATGAAAATTTCAAAGATGAAATGATAGAATGGCAAAGTTTGTATATATTTAAAACAGCTTTAAATTAATACTTTGTCCAACATTACTTCAACATGATAGTTTTTTTGAATGCAATAAATTACTTGTTTTGTATTTCTATTAAATAATAATATGATGTAGGTTTTTTGTAATTTTACATGATATTTATTCTATACCAATATGAAAGCACAATTGATTGGTGTTTTTAATTGAACGTTGTTGGAAAAACTTCCAAGATAGTTTTAATATTTTCAACAATGAAATATTGTGTTACGTTCCACTTGAATCCTAAAAGTATGCAAATATATAAAATAATTTGTATTTTGTAACGATTATGCAAAGAGTATTTGCATAGTCGCAAACATAATTAAGAAGTTCAAATTTCAAAGAATATAAGGTAGGTTTAAATAGTTTTTCTATTAATATCATTAATATCCTAATATTCTTATCATATTGACTTTAATTTTTATTATTTTGTTTTGGTTATTATAAAATCACTCAGTTAATTAAATTTTACCATTTAGATTTATAAGTACATATTTTGGTACATAATAATTTAATAATAAGAATACGATGTTGAAATTTTAATTTTTAAGTTTTGCATTAATTTAAGAATTTTTTAATAATATACTGTCGAAATTGTCATTCACAAGGTGGATTTATAATATAATTAGATATTTTATATTTTTTATTCTACTTAATAGGGTAATAAATTATTAAAATTCTTATGTTTTTATGTTAAAATAAGAAAATTTGGAGTATTATGGTCATAGAAGAAAAAATATCTGTATAGTGTATAAATTAAACTGCCAATTATATGAATTAAATGTAAAAAATAAATCCATATCAAAATTTTACAAAACTTTAAATCATTTCCTTCAAACCAACTCAGTGTATAAATAGAAACTTAACTATTTACTAAATCATATATATTTCATCAAACTTGAAAAATACAGTGAAAAACTTTTAAAATTTAGAAAAATTTCCCTTAGATAACACAAAAGAAAGGAAAATACAATAATGAAATAATTATTTATTAAATATTTAATTTGAATATTATGAAAATTTTTCTTTAATACTACATACTTTATATTAATCAACAGTTTCTTAAAATACGATAGTCATTTTCCTAATATTAACATTAATTATCAATACACCAATAGTAACCTTCTAAAAACAATAAACATATCTCCGATGAGTGTATAAAAGAAAACAATTAAGATAAACATTTAAATATTTTATATAAATAACTAGAAATTTATCCCTTAATGCATCCTCTTCACAATTTTATTTGATAAATATATTTGAAACTTAATTTATAATTGTATAATTGTATAATAAATCTATAAAAACTATTATAAAAACAATAAATATTTACTAAGCAACTCTACAATATGTAAACTATAATATAAGTAATATATGTGTATATTATAAGAGTTTTTTGAGTCGAATTAGACCAACTTAACTTATATACATATTCAAAATGCTCTGAAAATGTTCTAATAAAAGCAAATCTCATTAAGTTGCCAATAATTTTGCAATTTAAGTAAGAATTAATTTATTATGAAACCATCGCCTTTATTGATTTCATTAATTTCAAAATTAATATTTATAGATTTGTTCAGAGTTGAATTGCTCATTTCTTCGTAAAATAATTTAAATTTAAGATATTGGGATCAGAACCATTTCATCAAAATAAAATCGATGCACAATATTAACTTGTAAACAGCTGACAATAATTTATTTTTTAATTAGTATTTTTTAATTAGTAAGTTAAAATAATTAAGTATAAAAATCAGTTTTATAAGTCATTCTCGCAATCACTTCATTTAGAACATTTTTGGACATTTTTCAAAAATCCTAAAATTATATTAATATCTATAAAGTATGTATATAAATTTGTCACATATACAAATATTAAACGGTAAATAAATTGCGGTCCATTAAAGAATTTTATGAAAACTATTTGAACATCATCATGCCTTTTTCGAAAATGAAATTAAATCAGGTAAACTCTTTTATTGCTAAAAGCAAAATTACGCATATTATAAATACAAATTGCAAAAAAAAAAAAATAATCGTAATTTTATTTGTAATTGAAAAAAATCATGGTATAAATGTTGCTTGACATTATAAACGTTTTAAAAATTCTACTCTTTTATTAAACTTAGACCTTTTGATAACAAAAGGGATCGTAATTTTTTAAATATTTTATATTTATATGTATTGAGAATTATAAAAAAAAAATATTTTACAAATATT